ATCTTCACAACCGCTTGCCTGCTGAAGACTTTATTGTATACCATCGCACTGAAAGCTTCAAATCATACTTAATCTAGTTGTACCTGGCCAGTTCAAAATACATGTTGGATGGACTTCGCTCAGAACGTGTTTTGCAAATAACAACCAGCTCAACAGGTTGCATGTGTTTAGCTGAATACTGACTTCAACTGTAAATGGCATAAGACCTCCAGCTAATTGCTGCATGGATAGAATTAGTAGATTGGTCCAACTCACTGAAATGCTAATACTCTGTTAGATTTGCCATGAGAGAATGACTTGAGCAGTGACAGATGAACAAGGTTTGACATGTGAGCATTTACAAATGTATACCAAAACTTTCAACAATAAGATTATGTGCTGCTAAATTAACATTTTGATTACCTGCATGAAACAGAAGCTGCTCACGGAATGCAATGTGACTGTGACGTCAGCAGTAAACTATTCAGACACTACAGTTGCTTTATTTATATGAACTATTAAAGTGGTATTTACCTCACTTCCTACAGTGTCTGTGTAACAAATCTCGAATACAGAGATATATGTAACAGTACTAAACCAGTATTAGAGGGTGATATCCACATTCAGTCAGCATGCTGACAGCCATAAGTTGCTGTTCTGCATGGCCCTGGACTGGGGTCCCTCACACTGGCGGAACACAACTTACAGGTGCCTGGAAGCAAGGTGCTCAGGAAAATATCTGAAATTAAGTGGGCTGAAGAGAGAAGTTTAGGATATTACAAAGGAACTGTACTGATACAGGTCACAGAGAATTATTTTTTTTTCTGCTTCTTCTTGCTTGTGCAACCTGATTTGGATTTTGTCCTCTTCTGCCAACATTTTCCAGGATTCCCTCTCCCACCGCCTACTGCAGACACTGACAACTCTTTACTAGATCATCAAGCCATCTGGGTTTTGGTCTACCTTGGCCTCTTTTCGCTTCCAGCTTACCAAAGGTTAATATTTCCGTAGACTCACCATCATCTATTCTGGACCTACTACTGTTGGGGCAGTGATACCAAGGTTACAACAGATCCAACATATAGCACAGATCAATGAGGGGGGAAATAAGAACATACAAAAGATTTTGATGAAGAGGAAACATTATTATTAGAATGGGAGGCAGGTGGAGGTGGCAACAGTACTAACAGTGTTTCACATTTGGGTTCTACTACAGAAGACCATGACACAAGCCAGATCTACCAGTCTTACCCTTCTCCACATAGCAAATATTTATTCTTTTAACTTTTCCATGTATAAAAACAGTTAACACTACACAGTCGATGTGACTAAGATTTTACTACTGGTCCAATGCACACACGCACGCACGCACGCACGCACGCACACACACACACACACAATAATTACTTCTTAACAAACTCTATAAAGAAAAAAACGATGCTCATACCTGGTACACATGTAGCAGAAATGACAACTGCTTCTGCCCCTTAGGTACAAAATCATGTATTTATGCAAATCAAAGGCATATTTCACAAACTTTGCAATAGATGATGCTGAGAGCTGAGTCCTGATGTCCAATGATTAGGAAGATGTGTGAGCCTCTTTCCTGATCTGAATGCAATGGCAAAGAGAAAATTACTGGCTTTCCTACGAACCAATCTGCAGCTGTCCACTTTGCGGTCAGTCACTTCGCTGACTGGGCTATCCCTGATTGTGTTGGTAGAGTATCAAGGATTTAATTTTAAAATGAAGGGCTATTTTAAAAAGAATTATTACATTTTAAAATACGGATTCATAAATCAGCTACAGTGTCACATAAATCTTGGTCTCTTCACCATGAAAACTTCCACACTTAACTTGTTCATATCCGTAACCATACCTGTAACTGCCTTGTACTACAGACATTTGCATCAAATGATTCTGTTGTCATCTTTAAGTGAAAATGTGATACTATTCAGCTTTGTGTAAGCTACAGGTGACACCTAGAGACAAAAGTAAAAGCTATCCCTGCAACAGTCCGTGAAGGCTGATAGGGTTGTGAGATGAAGCTCCCACATTTTCCTTAGACAATTGGCTCACAGACAGCGGTAAGATTGTCAGCCTTACATGCCGGCCGCTCTTTACCACCCACGAAGATTCCTGCTACTCATTTCTGTTAGAGGCTGAGTTGACCCCAGGGCCACAGTGCGGCTGGAAGGATTAGGTAAATTGAAAAAATCCAACCCATTGGGATTTGAACCTGCGACCTTCCGGTTTGTAGCATAGTGAGAGACCAAAGTACTTTTCAGTAATTTACAGATTAGGAGCACTAGTAACAATTACCATTAATTTTCCTGAAGGTGGGAAGGATGTAGACTTCCTTCCACACATTTCAGAACTGCATGAGCCCATTAAACCTAATTGAATTCATAGATATAGGAGTCAGGCCACCACAAACAGTCCCCCTGGGCAGTGAGGTAGTGATCCTACTGACACAACAGCTGATGGATTGCCTTTGCAAAAAATAAATCCACATCAATTTAGTGATATCTTAAAGAGTGATGAACATGGCTGAACACACAAACTGCTTTCATTTGAATGATCCTCATAAATAAAACAAAGGTTCTGTAGGTCACTGATGTAAGAGTTCCATAAAATTATACAGTAACTTGTGGAACACATCAGGGACATCCAAATAAGCTGCATGTCCGGCGTTCTTCAATGGAACTTCTTGGCTGTTTGGCATAATTCTTAAGTTATTAGGAGCCTGTTTCGCCATTGGTGTCTTGTCATTTTCACCATACACTATCAGTGTTGGTACCTGCAAAAGCAAACGACAGATCATGATAGATAAATGATTCCTAAAAAACTGCTATGTGAGATATTCCCAGTGGTTCAGAGCATAAATATTGATAAAGCGTGATTCATTTATTTTCATGAAACTAAAAGATCCCAAAATTAATCCTGGCTCAGTCTATTATCACCAATCAAAGAACGAAGAAGGTGGTTGATATATGCATTACAATTACTCAAAGAAAGTATTGCGACATGTTGACCCCTACCTCGCCAGCCGCATGTAGCGGTAGCGTAGTGCTCGCGTAACAGGCGAGTCATCACCCCGCACTCTCCCCGCGGTGACGTCACGAGCGGAGCCGACGTTAGCAGAGTCCCCGCAACCTGGTCGCTATGCAACGCGAGTCAACAGCGGTGACGTCACCAAGTGGTAACAGCGTTGCTAGGATATACGCAAACACGGACGCGTCACCGCTTCCTACTGTGATGTGGGAACAGGCACCACTGCGGCTATATAAGTGAACTGCACAGCAGCTACGAGTCAGTTGTAATGTGACAGTCGCCGAGTGTGTTATCAACGAGTTCTCAGTTCGCAAGTTACGAGCTACAGACGCGTGTGCGAGAAGCAGTGATAGTTCGGTATAACCAGTTATATCTGGAGTGTGTAATTCAGGGAGATTTGTATAGCTCCCGCGTTATTAGTACGTGAAAACAAGTGAAGATCGTGTTAAGAGATTTTGTTGTAGGGTTTGTAAAGTGTGGAAACCCGTAATATTGTGATAATTAATTGTAGCCGTTATTTGTAGATTGTTGAATAAACCAATTAACGACCTCTACGGCGTATTCAGTAACGAAACACGTTACAGTATATTAAAGAATTCATTATGTATGTTTAGGAGCTGAAGATGATCAAAACAGGCTGCTGGTTCAGCTACAGAGCTATTCTGGATGTTGTTGCAAAGAAAGAGATCCTGACAATAACAACACACCAGTCATCCGGCTCTTATTCAGTCATTTTACAGAGAAAAGTATCCTGCTTCAGTTGTATGTACATTAGGCAGATTTATATTCTGACTCTGCAACAAGAAAATTAAAAATATCCACTATAAACAAGACATGTGAAAGTCTTGAATTTTCAAGACTGAACTGAGAAAGGAAACTTGATCTTGATTTCAAAACTGATTTCCCAGTTTGAACTTTGAGAACTTTTGAAATACTGCTTTCTTTTGTGCAGCAGAATTTAGTCTAATCCATCAGAATTGTGCACACATCAACATGGTCCTGAAATTGTTCTTTTATAATACAAGTCCTGTTCATTATATGCATTTTAAAAAACTGTACTTGCAACTTATATGTTCAATTGATTTAAACTGATTTCAATTAACAGCACTTGCTTAAATGCGAACTGCTTCCTGGCCAATCAAGAGAGGCTGCGAGAAGGGGGAGTAGAGTACCATGTATGTGGTGGAGGGGTAATGTGAGGCAAAAAGGGGAAATCTGGCCCAGCTGGTTCACTTTATATGATTTATTCTTCTACACCACTTTTCAAGATGCAAATGTCAGGTACAATTAGGAACACATGTACCATGACTCACGAACACTTTCACCAAAAGATATTAGTGCACTTTATTGCACTGTGGAAAAAATGGACAGCTTTGTGGGAACTGCCCACATTCAAGCAAACATTACAGTGCCACCTCAGGTACCATTGCTTAGTAATGACGAGTAAACAATCATTGGTAGGTAAGGTGTACAACAAGTCAAAGTCAAAGTCACATTGTGACTGATGGTCAGTCAGTCAGTCAGTCTGGAAGCCTTGGTGCTGAGCGCCAGGTATATTTATTGCTGTTTGACAGTTACGGTCTTGTTTTTGTGGGGCGCCCTCTATGACGAGAGGATGGGGCTGTCTTTTGTATATGCTGCTGGCCCTTGCCAGAGCAGTCTTTCTTGGGTCCGAGTCCCTTGGGACATGTGACCATATTTTACTGTCACAGATTTGAGACTTCCTTTTAGTCGCCTCCTATGACTCGCAGGGTCATGGTGGAGGTAATTGACCCCGCCTCCACACGGGTTCAGTTTTGGTCTACAACAATTTGTGACTGTGGGAAGNCATTTTCCTTAGACAATTGGCTCACAGACAGCGGTAAGATTGTCAGCCTTACATGCCGGCCGCTCTTTACCACCCACGAAGATTCCTGCTACTCATTTCTGTTAGAGGCTGAGTTGACCCCAGGGCCACAGTGCGGCTGGAAGGATTAGGTAAATTGAAAAAATCCAACCCATTGGCATTTGAACCTGCGACCTTCCGGTTTGTAGCATAGTGAGAGACCAAAGTACTTTTCAGTAATTTACAGATTAGGAGCACTAGTAACAATTACCATTAATTTTCCTGAAGGTGGGAAGGATGTAGACTTCCTTCCACACATTTCAGAACTGCATGAGCCCATTAAACCTAATTGAATTCATAGATATAGGAGTCAGGCCACCACAAACAGTCCCCCTGGGCAGTGAGGTAGTGATCCTACTGACACAACAGCTGATGGATTGCCTTTGCAAAAAATAAATCCACATCAATTTAGTGATATCTTAAAGAGTGATGAACATGGCTGAACACACAAACTGCTTTCATTTGAATGATCCTCATAAATAAAACAAAGGTTCTGTAGGTCACTGATGTAAGAGTTCCATAAAATTATACAGTAACTTGTGGAACACATCAGGGACATCCAAATAAGCTGCATGTCCGGCGTTCTTCAATGGAACTTCTTGGCTGTTTGGCATAATTCTTAAGTTATTAGGAGCCTGTTTCGCCATTGGTGTCTTGTCATTTTCACCATACACTATCAGTGTTGGTACCTGCAAAAGCAAACGACAGATCATGATAGATAAATGATTCCTAAAAAACTGCTATGTGAGATATTCCCAGTGGTTCAGAGCATAAATATTGATAAAGCGTGATTCATTTATTTTCATGAAACTAAAAGATCCCAAAATTAATCCTGGCTCAGTCTATTATCACCAATCAAAGAACGAAGAAGGTGGTTGATATATGCATTACAATTACTCAAAGAAAGTATTGCGACATGTTGACCCCTACCTCGCCAGCCGCATGTAGCGGTAGCGTAGTGCTCGCGTAACAGGCGAGTCATCACCCCGCACTCTCCCCGCGGTGACGTCACGAGCGGAGCCGACGTTAGCAGAGTCCCCGCAACCTGGTCGCTATGCAACGCGAGTCAACAGCGGTGACGTCACCAAGTGGTAACAGCGTTGCTAGGATATACGCAAACACGGACGCGTCACCGCTTCCTACTGTGATGTGGGAACAGGCACCACTGCGGCTATATAAGTGAACTGCACAGCAGCTACGAGTCAGTTGTAATGTGACAGTCGCCGAGTGTGTTATCAACGAGTTCTCAGTTCGCAAGTTACGAGCTACAGACGCGTGTGCGAGAAGCAGTGATAGTTCGGTATAACCAGTTATATCTGGAGTGTGTAATTCAGGGAGATTTGTATAGCTCCCGCGTTATTAGTACGTGAAAACAAGTGAAGATCGTGTTAAGAGATTTTGTTGTAGGGTTTGTAAAGTGTGGAAACCCGTAATATTGTGATAATTAATTGTAGCCGTTATTTGTAGATTGTTGAATAAACCAATTAACGACCTCTACGGCGTATTCAGTAACGAAACACGTTACAGTATATTAAAGAATTCATTATGTATGTTTAGGAGCTGAAGATGATCAAAACAGGCTGCTGGTTCAGCTACAGAGCTATTCTGGATGTTGTTGCAAAGAAAGAGATCCTGACAATAACAACACACCAGTCATCCGGCTCTTATTCAGTCATTTTACAGAGAAAAGTATCCTGCTTCAGTTGTATGTACATTAGGCAGATTTATATTCTGACTCTGCAACAAGAAAATTAAAAATATCCACTATAAACAAGACATGTGAAAGTCTTGAATTTTCAAGACTGAACTGAGAAAGGAAACTTGATCTTGATTTCAAAACTGATTTCCCAGTTTGAACTTTGAGAACTTTTGAAATACTGCTTTCTTTTGTGCAGCAGAATTTAGTCTAATCCATCAGAATTGTGCACACATCAACATGGTCCTGAAATTGTTCTTTTATAATACAAGTCCTGTTCATTATATGCATTTTAAAAAACTGTACTTGCAACTTATATGTTCAATTGATTTAAACTGATTTCAATTAACAGCACTTGCTTAAATGCGAACTGCTTCCTGGCCAATCAAGAGAGGCTGCGAGAAGGGGGAGTAGAGTACCATGTATGTGGTGGAGGGGTAATGTGAGGCAAAAAGGGGAAATCTGGCCCAGCTGGTTCACTTTATATGATTTATTCTTCTACACCACTTTTCAAGATGCAAATGTCAGGTACAATTAGGAACACATGTACCATGACTCACGAACACTTTCACCAAAAGATATTAGTGCACTTTATTGCACTGTGGAAAAAATGGACAGCTTTGTGGGAACTGCCCACATTCAAGCAAACATTACAGTGCCACCTCAGGTACCATTGCTTAGTAATGACGAGTAAACAATCATTGGTAGGTAAGGTGTACAACAAGTCAAAGTCAAAGTCACATTGTGACTGATGGTCAGTCAGTCAGTCAGTCTGGAAGCCTTGGTGCTGAGCGCCAGGTATATTTATTGCTGTTTGACAGTTACGGTCTTGTTTTTGTGGGGCGCCCTCTATGACGAGAGGATGGGGCTGTCTTTTGTATATGCTGCTGGCCCTTGCCAGAGCAGTCTTTCTTGGGTCCGAGTCCCTTGGGACATGTGACCATATTTTACTGTCACAGATTTGAGACTTCCTTTTAGTCGCCTCCTATGACTCGCAGGGTCATGGTGGAGGTAATTGACCCCGCCTCCACACGGGTTCAGTTTTGGTCTACAACAATTTGTGACTGTGGGAAGCACCCACAGTGGATTGAGTGCTAGCCAATCACAAGCTAGGAACCATTCACTGCTTAGCAACAGCTGAGTAAACAGCCAGTGCTAGGCAAAGCCTACAACAATACGGACAGCAATGTGATTTCTATGCAGTTCAANCAAAATTAATCCTGGCTCAGTCTATTATCACCAATCAAAGAACGAAGAAGGTGGTTGATATATGCATTACAATTACTCAAAGAAAGTATTGCGACATGTTGACCCCTACCTCGCCAGCCGCATGTAGCGGTAGCGTAGTGCTCGCGTAACAGGCGAGTCATCACCCCGCCCTCTCCCCGCAGTGACGTCACGAGCGGAGCCGATGTTAGCAGAGTCCCCGCAACCTGGTCGCTATGCAACGCGAGTCAACAGCGGTGACGTCACCAAGTGGTAACAGCGTTGCTAGGATATACGCAAACACGGACGCGTCACCGCTTCCTACTGTGATGTGGGAACAGGCACCACTGCGGCTATATAAGTGAACTGCACAGCAGCTACGAGTCAGTTGTAATGTGACAGTCGCCGAGTGTGTTATCAAC